CAATCACGATGAATTTCCTTGACCTTCATGAGATTTATAACATTATTTTCAATTATTAAATCTTTGTTTGGTTAATATAATAACATTACACTATAGTGACTATAAGACTTGGTGATTATAGATCACCAAGTATTAAATCATTCTACTGGAAACTAAATCTTTACAAGAGAGAGAGAGAGAGAGAGAGAGAAAGAGAGAGAGAGAGATGGGAATACAAAAATTAAAATCGAAATTAATAGTAGGGAGATAACAACTAATTAATAACAGTGAAATGACTTGGTACCATGTGCATAACAGTGAAGTATCAACTAATCAGCATGAGGGAAATAAAAAAAAACACAGACATTTTTATTTCAATTTTATATCTAATACAGTAATAGGCCAGACAATATCAACTGAATTCAATTCAACGAATCTCCACTACAAGCTAACAGGAAGTTCAAGTGGCAGGGCAGCTTCCCTCCCTCCCTCTCTTCAGGCGAAGCTGACAGCTTCACCTTCTAGGACCTCTCCACAGACCCCAGACCCACACAAGTGAACCATCTGAGACACAAAATTGAGATTCAAGACCACCATTGGAATCAGACAATTCGCTTTCGGAGCATCACTAGACATTTACCTTATACTTGCCTGTGTATATGTTTCAAGTTTACATTCTTATAGATTCTGACGTCTTAGTGATTCATTTGAACCTGACTCACAATCAGTTCAGTGAGTACTGAGGTCTATGTGGGTCGCCAGTGTGCATGGAACATCATTCACATAGGCCTGCTAGCGTCCCATAGGCCTCCTAGAGAGATATGCCCCCACACTTGGTGATACAATGTAATTTCATCTTAGGACGCTACTATCGGCACTAGGCCTAAATACCTGTAGAGAACTTGAGCCTCTGATTTGCCTGAAGCTGCAACATCAGAGTCGTGGGGTCACACTAAGCTTTGATTAGTAATAGGTCACACTAAGCTTTGATTAGTCTTGAGTCGCTCCAAGCTTTGAGTAGTAGAAGGCCACATCAAGCTTTGATCAATCGTGGGGCACATGCAGCTCTATATAGCTGTGAGGCACACCAGGCTCTGATCAGTCAGGGGTCACACCAGGCTCTGATCAGTCAGGGGTCACACCAGGCTCTGATCAGTCAGGGGTCACACCAGGCTCTGATCAGTCAGGGGTCACACCAGGCTCTGATCAGTCAGGGGTCACACCAGGCTCTGATCAGTCAGGGGTCACACCATACTCTGGCCAGGTGATCGTAGGTCACACCCATCTCTGGGCCATGTCAAGCGCTGGTCAAGGATTCTTTAAGAACTTAGTAGTCAGATGTCACACTAACTTAGCAGTCAATTGTCACAGCCGTAAAGAAGACGAAAGACTATGATACCCTAGTATAATCTACCTTCTACTCACAGTAGAAAGGCGCAGAGTAGATCAAAAATACTTTGGATGTTTTTTCAATCTTTTTACGACAGATATCTTTTACGATATCTTCAATATTTTCTTTGGATAGCTGGTTCTTTGAATTATTAGTTCATTGTCTTTATTCTTCATTTGAACCCTTTGGATTATTTCTACATGTTTTTATGTAGCCTCAGTTTATTTTATGTAGCCTTATGTAGCCCTGTAGTTTTTTATGTAGCCTCATTAAACGTATCCAAACGTTATATTTTTAACTCATGTGTGTTTTTGGCCATGGTGGAACTCTCTAATATATATATATATATATATATATATATATATATATATATATATATATATATATATATATATATATATATATATATATATATATATAACGTGATCAGAGGTAATATTTAGAGGTCGTTTGTCTTAGCTAACTTTCTGAGATTCTTGTGAGGTCATATCTAATGTTATCTAGTCATGGGGTTATCTAATCATGGGCGACACCTAGCACGGCTGGGAGTCGAAGCCATGGTTGTACAGATGTGTCTTACTCCACATAGTCACATATACCACTACATAAACAGCCGCATATATATAGACACACAATCACTTATACCGCTTCTCTATCACATATATCGACAGTCAAACGGTCATATATACAGTCATATAGACAGCCACATATATTGCCACATATATACGGTCGCATATATCGCAACATGTACAGTCAAATATGCTAACATAGAGTCACATATACCACCATATAGTCACTTATATAGACAAATAGACAATTATATGAACTCACATTCACATATACAGCCATATAGAAAGTCATATATATATATACACCCACACGGACAGTCATATTCACCCACATATTCAGACACATATAATGCAATATAGACAATCACATATATATAGCTCACATATACAGCCACATATTCAGTCACATATATAGCTACATGCACACATATTTACACATGGTCATCTAACTAGTCGAACTGTTACATATGCAGTCATATGTGCAGTCAATCCCATAAACATATATGGGACTGAACAAAAGACAGTTACACATGCTGCCAAACAGTCATGTATAATTATATACAGCCACATATACAGCCACATATACAGCCGCACAGGCACACAAAGCCACATACACAGTCAAACAGTCTCATATATGCTCAAATGGATTACCACAGTCATATATAAAAGCACACAGTTACACCAGCACACAGGTAGTCACACCACCCACATATTTACAGCCATATATATAGTCACATATAAACATATGCACACAATCATACTGTCACAAAATCAGTCAAGCAGTCACATATTTGCAGAGTTACATAATTACACAGTTAAAGAGTCACATAGTTATATAGTCAGATATAGTCACAGTCACATATATATCAAGAGCCAGTCACAAAGCCACATATACAGTTAGACGATCTGAGAATGATATAGATATACACTCACTTAAACGGTCTCAAAGCTACATATACATTCACGTATGCGATCTAAAAGCCATATATAGTCACTTGAACGGTCTCAGAGCTACATATATAGTCTCTTAGTTCTCAAAGCCACGTATACAGTCACTTTGGCGTCTCAAACCTATATATATATACAATCACTTAAACGGTCTCAAATTACATATATAAAGTCACAGGCGGTCTCAAGGTCACATATACAGTCCCACACAGTCGCACATACGGTCACGCAGTCACATATATTCTCAGTCACTGAGAACGAAGGCTGAACAAATAACTGTTCTTCAAGCACTGACAACAATTTTCCACCGTAATAACGTCATGTTATTAATAATAACGTCATGTTGTCCGTCCAGAACCAAGATTCACCATTTACTCAACCCCCGTTACGAAACCTGTATATCTTTCCTCAATCATGATGGATTAAATTACATTTAATAACAAGTTTACGAGCTCCGAAGCGACTACGAGGTTGTTTACAACAATAATAACCTTGGGATTGTGAAGTCTCCGAACTCGCAAACCGTTTAGTAACTGTAAACAAACCCGCATTAAAAAGATGTACAGGTTTCGCAAGTTGATGAGTAAATACCTGATGAATCTTGGCCTGGTAATATAGCCTAAATGAAGCCTAACACACAATAATAATAATAATGATTATAAATCTAAGACGGTGAATCTTGATGAATCAAGATTCATCAAGATTCATCAAGATTCATCAAGATTCATCAATCATCATAGGAATTTGTATCAATAAGAACTATATATATTATTGTCCAGCACCTGGAAACTTGCCTAAGTCCTCATAAGAAACTTGCCTAAGTCCTCATAAGAAACTTGCCTAAGTCCTCATAAGAAACTTGCCTAAGTCCTCATAAGAAACTTGCCTAAGTCCTCATAAGAAACTTGCCTAAGTCCTCATAAGAAACTTGCTTAAGTCCTCATAAGAAACTTGCTTAAGTCCTCATAAGAAACTTGCCTAAGTCCTCATAAGAAACTTGCCTAAGTCCTCATAAGAAACTTGCCTAAGTCCTCATAAGAAACTTGCCTAAGTCCTCATAAGAAACTTGCCTAAGTCCTCATAAGAAACTTGCCTAAGTCCTCATAAGAAACTTGCCTAAGTCCTCATAAGAAACTTGCCTAAGTCCTCATAAGAAACTTGCCAAAGTCCTCATAAGAAACTTGCCTAAGTCCTCATAAGAAACTTGCCTAAGTCCTCATAAGAAACTTGCCTAAGTCCTCATAAGAAACTTGCTTAAGTCCTCATAAGAAACTTGCCTAAGTCCTCATAAGAAACTTGCCTAAGTCCTCATAAGAAACTTGCTTAAGTCCTCATAAGAAACTTGCCTAAGTCCTCATAAGAAACTTCCCTAAGTCCTCATAAGAAACTTGCCTAAGTCCTCATAAGAAAGAAATAATATCATTACACAAAAATAAAAAATAATAAAAAAATATTCAGTACAGGTAAATGGATTTCAGATATTTTTATCCTATTGAATTTTTTTTTTTGTATAACTGATTATTTGAGTATGAAAAAGTGAATCTGAATTGTGTTTTTTCTTTTCACAAATATCGTTTCACAAAGGATACCAATAGAGCATTGATCGACAAAATTCCAGTTACTGAAGAATAGAGACATTTATTTATTTTATTCTGAACAATCGTTTGAAGTTAGAATTGTAATTAAGTATATTTTACATAAAAACCGGCATTTTAAACTTACAAAAAAAAACCGGCATTTTAAACTTACAAAAAAACCCGGCATTTTAAACTTACAAAAAAAAAACGGCATTTCAAACTTACAAAAAAAACCGGCATTTTAAACTTACAAAAAAAAAACCGGCATTTCAAACTTACAAAAAAACCCGGCATTTTAAACTTACAAAAAAACCCGGCCTTTTAACCCTACAAAAAAGGCCGTTTTTTTTAAACTTGCAAAAAAGCCTACCATAAAAGCTCAGCCGAACAGGACATCACAACGACATCAATAATACAAACTATCTGAACAGCACACATAGGCCTACTGGTAGGCAAGATAATGGAGTTAGTGACTCGGGTAAGCGGCCTGGCTAAATGACTCGATAACGTGGGTAAGTGATCTGGGTAAATGACTTGGGTAATATAAGTGGGAAAATAACTAAGAGAAGAAGGTAAAACTGCTTTAGGTAAGTAGCAGAGGCGAGCTGACCATCTGAAGCAAACAAAAGAAAGAGAAACAAGAAAGCGACGCAGTTTGATAAACAAATGGAAGATGGTAACGCATAAAAGAGAAAGTATATGATAACGAATAAGAGATGGATAGCATTAAATGTTAACGCATGGAAAGAATAATAGCAGTAGATAATAACGCATAAGAGACTGATAGCATTAAATGATAACAGATGAGAGAGCATTAGCAGTAGATAACGAATAAGAGACTAATAGCATTATATGCTAACGCAAGAGACAGTAACAGCAGCAGTAGATGAAGGGGGTAGTAACCAAGGCCTCATGTATGTGTTGCAGGCTTGGGGGGAGGGGGAGGGAGGGAGGGGGTGATAAACTCCAGCAGGAGACAACGGAACTCCAGCAGGAGACAACGGAACTCCAGCAGGAGACAACGGAACTCCAGCAGGAGGTAACGACGACGACGACGGAGCTGTAGCGAGGCTGTGCTAGTGTGCGCTGGTGTCCAAGAGCCCCAGTGCACCCAGCGCCCCGACACACACCAGCAGGAGGGTGGTGGAGAGCCCCATCACCCCTGCAGCGTTGCAGCCGTCGGTGTTGCAACAGGTGATGTCCGTCGTCTGCCTGTCTGTTGGGCAAGACAGGAGGTCATTGATCTTTACACTCTGTAAGAGGGTCAATAAAGTGATGACATTGTGATATAGCGGTTAATAAAGTGAATAATATACTCGTAGCTTGACTTTATTGGTGATAGACAGGAAATCTAATGACCCTTCAAGGGCTCGAACTCAAGCCACCAGCGTGAAAATCGAATTCTATGGCCACCTAACTAATAATCGCATTTAAGGTCGTGAGGCCTAAATGCATCCAATATCCCGCTACACTCATGGATACCACCGATATTATATATATATATATATATATATATATATATATATATATATATATATATATATATATATATATATATATATATATATATAATCATTCCATTATAAGTGTTGATATATACATTATTATGACAAATTGATGTATTTACTAAATCGTTGCAGTCTACTCAATTAAGGCAAAAATGTATTATTATATTAATTACAGTTAAAACCTATAAAATTGTTCTTATACTAGTGAACTTGTGAAGGCTTATGATGAGGTGAATAACTGGTGAACTTCCTGAATTTCGTAAACACCAATCTGGTTGATGAAGCAAATACATATAGCCATAACAAAACAGGATTAATGAACATTTCACTTGAAATACCTAAAAAAATACATCTAGTTTTTGCAGTAATATTCATGAATAAACATTAGCTTGAAGAGTTGCTCACTCAATTCTGATCCATTCAAATTCCATTTAACTTCCCAGAATCTAAGTTATCGCCGGTTGGAACTTTTCAGTCTAACCTGATCTTCTACTAATCTTTTCCTGGACGGGTGAAGGAGAAGTCCTGACCTGAGGCCGACCAATAATACTGACACATATTGCATTATATTCATTCCACCACCAGTCAATCAAATAGTCTATAGCAATAAGTAACACCTAAAAAATTAGCTCCTTTTGAGATAGCAAAGGGAATTTATTTTTATTAAGCAGCATTTTGATTTCTAGACGTTCACCTTTTAGAAGACGGTGAACCTTCTAGATGGTGCAAGAGCTTAGAGCACCCAGCGTCGTTGTGACCCCCCGAGTGAGTGTGTCTGTGCAATCAATACTTCTACCTCAGATTTATCTGGGAATTGTGTTTACGTACATAATATTCTCCCAAGAATCCGGTGAGTGTGTGTGTGTGTGTGTGTGTGTGTGTGTGTGTGTGTGTGTGTGTGTGTGTGTGTGTGTGTGTGTGTGTGTGTGTGTGTGTGGAGAGTTCGTGTCATCTCTGAGCCGCTTGTATGTGGGTTGGGAAGATATCTTTTGAGGCGGAGAATCATGTATGTTAATATCATGTCACATCTATTTCGTCTGCATGTGGAGATCTCCTCAGACAAAGAATCTTATATGTTGAGATCATGTCACCTCAGTCCCCCATGAGTGAGGGCTAGGGAAGATAGTCCTCTGTTGTGTGTATTGTATACCAGTGTAAAGGATAATGTGTCTGAGTGTAAGAAGGTATTTTTTTCCATTTTCTTCTCAAGTGGAGAAAAACATTGTGCAACACAATGGTTCAAACTCACGACTCTCAACACAGTGGTCAACACAAGCCAGCACCAGGACGCCCTCGTTGCTGTAACGCTGGAATACAGAAGAGAACAATCGTTAGTACAGAGGGATTTATCAGGAGGAAAGCGCCAAGCCATTACGACTATATAGCACATGGAAAAGGTCAGGATAAGGATTTGGGATGGGATGGAGGGATGGAATGGTGCCCAACCACTTGACACAGCTGCCCGTAATATATCAAATGGCGAGTAGTAGCATCTAACAAGCTGGTTGACCAACGAATCAACGAAAAAAAACAATGATCCTCAAACCCAACTGTGGTTAACGCAGAGTCATCAGTCAGCCTAGATATTATCTTTATCGATCAAATTACCTATAATACCTAACGTAATCATCTAAATAAATTCTTTTTGCGGGAAGCAACGCTCGGAACTGGACAGTATTACTATGACACCAACCCCCGTTTTAAGTTACATTATGTGTATGCTTTCATATAAATCTAAAAGTCGGGCCATAAATTCCCGTTTTTTTTTTAATTCCCTCGTAAATCAGGCAGGCCTCTGCCACCACCTCTTCAGTAACAATAAATTAGAACACAGTTTATGTGCTCAGGTAAAGAACTGAGATACACACACTATTACGTATACCTTGGTTCTCGGTGTATAAACCTTGGTTTTCGGTGTATAAACCTTGTTTCTCGGTGTATAAACCTTGTTTCTCGGTGTATAAACCTTGGGTCTCTGTGTATATACTGAAAGTTTACTATAGACTATGTTCAAGACAAATGTACTTGGTGGTAAAGACTTGCTGACTTGGTCTTACCAGTCAGTAAGATCTTGAGGTGGCCTTAATAACCCTCCTGAGGGTTGATAGGTCTTAATAACCCCTCCAGAGGTTGATTGGTTTTAATAACCCTCCAGAGGATGATAGGTCTTAATAATCCTCCAGAGGATGATAGGTCTTAATAACCCTCCAGGAGATGATAGGCCTTAATAACCCTGCAGAGGTTGATAGATCTTAATAACCCTCCAGAGGTTGATAGGTTTTAATAACCCTCCAGAGGTTGATAGGTCTTAATAACCCTCCAGGGGTTGATAGGCAATAACAACCCTTCAGAGATTGATAAGCCTTAATAACCCTCCAGAGGTTGATTGGTCTTAATAACCCTCCAGGGGTTGATAGGCCTTAATAACCCTGCAGAGGTTGATAGGCCTTAATAACCCTCCAGAGGTTTATAGGCCTTAATAACACTCCAGAAGTTGATAGGCCTTAATAACTCTCCCAGAAGTTGATAGGCCTTAATACCCTCAATAGGCTGATAGGCCATCTGGTCTGTACAACATTGTGTAGGGATAATTCATCATGTACCAGTAATGGCTCCTATTAATAAAAAAATCCAGGTTAGTATTGTTTTCAAGTAAAGAGGCGATTAACTAAATGCACACAGAGAATAATTAATTACCTATCTTCAACAAATTGTGAAATAGAGCGTGACCTGTCATTGTTAAATAGATGAGCTAAACAGATGTTAGGTAATTAACACTTTATAGGGCAGTATGCGGCAATTTAGTGAAGAATTGCAGAGAACAGGTCAAAATAATTAGACTGAAAATGAATAACCCAACACTCATATGCGATGAGAAAGGGGAGTGAGGAAGTATCACTCTCAAATCACCCTAATCAAGTCGCAAAAAAAACCTACAGGAGAAAGAAGCAAGTATAAGGCTTCCTACTCTTGCCTTATCCCGACCCCCTCACCTGTTGTTGACTCAGATGCGACTTGATAAGAGTCAAGGACGGACCCAAACGTCGTTACTGTGCTAAAAGTCTTAATATGTCGGTGTTTGCTTAAGAGAACGATTCTCGCTTTAGTCAGATTAATGCAGCCGCCGCATATTATTGGCGAGTTACGGGTAACGCGGGTAATCTACAGCCACAGGTAAGGTAAAGCGGGTAATCTACAGCCACAGGTAAGGTAAAGCGGGTAATCTACAGCCGCAGGTAAGGTAAAGCGGGTAATCTACAGCCACAGGTAAGGTAAAGCGGGTAATCTACAGCCACAGGTAAGGTAAAGCGGGTAATCTACAGCCACAGGTAAGGTAAAGCGGGTAATCTACAGCCACAGGTAAGGTAAAGCGGGTAATCTACAGCCACAGGTAAGGTAAAGCGGGTAATCTACAGCCACAGGTAAGGTAAAGCGGGTAATCTACAGCCGCAGGTAAGGTAAAGCGGGTAATCTACAGCCACAGGTAAGGTAAAGCGGGTAATCTACAGCCACATGTAAGGTAAAGCGGGTAATCTACAACCACAGGTAAGGTAAAGCGGGTAATCTACAACCACAGGTAAGGTAAAGCGGGTAATCTACAACCACAGGTAAGGTAAAGCGGGTAATCTACAACCGCAGGTAAGGTAACACAGGCAATATACAACCCGCGGGTAAGGTAATGCAGGTAATCTACAACCTAATGTATAATAATTTATATGTCAGTTAAGGCAATATAACCCTCCAGAGGTTATGGAGGGTTATGGAGGGTTCCAGCAACAACTGGAGACAAGGTACAACCTCAATTATATATCTTCTGTCCCATGCCTTTGCGAGTGATGTTTTTACATTTTTGTAACAGTAGTTAATTACATTGTCGGTTTGTGAATTGAAGTTTATTGACATTTCTGTCCACGTATCTGAGGTTGGAGAGGAGATGCTTGAGGCAAACTTTACCCAACTTTGGACCCCTGATTCCTGTCGAGTGCCAAACATGGTCGGGTCGAGCTCGTCACAATTGAAGAGAAACAACATTTCATGATCACATGCTCACTCCCACGGGTGATTTTCGCGCCATATTCTCTCCCGTTTCACCCCGTTTTGCTAAATTACTTTGACAAAGTAATTCTTATAGAATTGTAAAACAGCATGTGCTGATCTCCGGAAGATTAGCATAAAATTTCCACTCATAATTCTTTGACTAAAAACAGCACAAACACATTTAATAGAACCACAACCATCTAGAATATACTCCTCTCAGACGTATATCCAAAACATACTCTTCTCAGACTCTCTTGACAGCGAACCAAGACCTCGCTCCATGGACGAGGAAGATTCACAGTATGCTAAACATTACAAGACACCAACAAGTTGGCTAGTAATTATATGTATCTTGTTGTTTCCTTAATGACCCTCGAGAGGTTGACAGACTTTATACGTAACAACCCAAGGCCATTCACATTGCGTTGTATTATAACCAATATTGTATTTACCGAAATAGAATATATTGAAAGGCGAGGGATGTTTGTATAATCTGTGTTTTACAAGCATTTGTAGGGGAACTAAAACAGAAGACCTGGTGTGTGCTTGCGTTGTGTCATATTGTTTTTAACTCTTGAAAACAGACCAAAGCGAGTCATGTATTTGCAGTGTGTGTGTGTGTGTGTGTGTGTGTGTGTGTGTGTGTGTGTGTGTGTGTGTGTGTGTGTGTGTGTGTGTGTGTGTGTGTGTGTGTGTGTGTGTGTATTCACCTAGTTGTATTCACCTAGTTGTGTTTGCGGGGGTTGAGCTTTGCTCTTTCGGCCCGCCTCTCAACTGTCAACCAACTGTTTACTATTTTTTTTCTCTCCACACCACACACACACACACACACACACACACCAGGAAGCAGCCCGTGACAGCTGACTATATCCCAGGTACCTATTTACTGCTAGGCAACAGGGGCATTCAGGGTGAAAGAAACTTTGTCCATTTGTTTCTGCCTGGTGCGGGAATCGAACCCGCGCCACAGAATTACGAGTCCTGCGCGCTATCCACCAGGCTACAAGGCCCTGTGTGTGTGTGTGTGTGTGTGTGTGTGTGTGTGTGTGTGTGTGTGTGTGTGTGTGTGTGTGTGTGTGTGTGTGTGTGTGTGTGTACTCACCTAGGTGTGCTCACCTAGTGTGTTGTAGTCAACACATTGCACAGACAAGCTAAATAGCAGATTTCCTCTGCAATAGGATGGCATGATGTCACTTGGGTTATGTCACTTTTGGGCAGAATAACACTTTTGGCATTCGTCATAGACACAACAGTGGTCTAAGTCGCTAGAATGCAGCCTCTAATGTTCTTTAGTGTAACATATCCTTTACAATTTGACTAGCTGGGATAACCGGCGGTGCCCAGGTACCCTCCCCTTTCTCTCGGAACATGTAAACATCCTGAACAGCTGAACAACTATCAATAAACTATTTGAAACGGAAGAACCACAATTTCAGACTTCGTGGGAGTTGCAAGAAATGGCAATAGGAGCCGATGAGTTTTTTTTTTTAAAGTGGACCGTGGAATTGACCCCCCGACGCACCTATGACGGCCTCCAACAGCCAGATGTGTTATCCTGCAAAGTTCTCTGCCAGACGCCTATGTTAACAAACTCCGCCTCTCACTATAAGAGTCCCAGTGTTTTCTTCCTGCGGGTTCAGGACACGAGGGAATGGTTCGAAGCTGGAGCTGAGAAAGTTCAGTCAGTTGGGATTAAAATCGAGCAAAACTGTTCGCATAGACTCAAGTCGTTATCTAGAACGACGGAGGTTGTCAGGTCACAAGATAACAGCCGTCGTCCAGGTCACAAGATAACAGCCGTCGTCCAGGTCACAAGATAACAGCCGTCGTCCAGGTCACAAGATAACAGCCGTCGTCCAGGTCACAAGATAACAGCCGTCGTCCAGGTCACAAGATAACAGCCGTCGTCCAGGTCACATGATAACAACCGTCGTCCAGGTCACAAGATAACAGCAGTCGTCCAGGTCACAAGATAACAACCGTCGTCCAGATCACAAGATAACAGCCGTCATCCAGATCACAAGATACCAGCCGTCATCCAGATCACAAGATGACAGCCGTCATCCAGATCACAAGATAACAGCCGTCGTCCAGGTCACAAGATAACAACCGTCGTCCAGGTCACAAGATAACAGCCGTCGTCCAGGTCACAAGATAACAGCCGTCGTCCAGATCACAAGATAACAGCCGTCGTCCAGGTCACAAGATAACAGCCGTCGTCCAGGTCACAAGATAACAGCCGTCGTCCAGGTCACAAGATAACAACCGT